CTTCACAAATGGATCCTTGACCAGATCAAGCCAGAACTCTCCCTGGAAACCAAGATTGTCAAATTGAGGCAAATGTGGCCACATCATGAGAAGGCATGACTCATTACAAAAGGGAATAATGCTAGGAAAGGTAGAGGGGAGTAGAAAGAGAGGAAGATGCACATCAGATGTATTAACTTTTAGGGAGGTAATGGGTCTGAATTTGCAGGACCTTAGCAGAGCAGTGGAGGACAGGGGATCTTGGAGATGTCTCATTCACAGGGTCACCATGAGTCGGGGTTGACTGGAGGGCAGTTAACAACAACAACAGAGTAAGTTACTAAACTTTATAAGAACTACCAGTGGATACTCTTGGAGATTTCTTGTTTCAGGCCTTGTAAGCTAAAATGAATGTTCAGGTGGGTTTTCTTACATAACTGTTGGTTTACATGTGGAGTGTTCTTGTCTTGACAATCGATTTTTATATCTTCCTTGTCAAATGTGCTGTAAGTCAATACAGAAAAAAAATATAAGAATGGTCAAGAAGAAGATGAGGAATGAGATCATACCATTATTCGACGTGTGATTTCTGATTTTGCTCAGTGCGTGAAAAACTATTCTTTAGTCTGAAGCTATTGACTTTTCTAAATGAGCCAACAAAGATTCAAAACACATAATTATGGGATTGTGCTGCTTAGTGATAAATCTGTACTAAATCAAACAGTTACCAAAACACGCAAGATGTGCCACAGATAACTTATTAATAGCTTATTTGTGTTTGACAGATTTGAAACAGTCTTCTTTTTTCTTTACAAACATGTGACAAACTGTTTGAATTAATCCTCAGTCAAAGCATATTGTTGTTAAATAATTGCTGCAGAAAAGTATGTGCCTCTTACTTCAGAATATCCTGTCTTCATGATATCCCCATCTTTTGAAATTTTCCTGTTCCTCCTTTTTACATCAGGAATTTTACCTGAAGTGCACCAGAGCCAGCTTCATGTGGTATTTAAAGTATTAGACTAGGACTCCAGGGTCCAAAACACACTGCAGAAATAATCTGGTTTGAGACCGCTTTAACTGCTCTGGCTCAGTGCTAAGTAATCTTGGGAATTGTAGTTTATTGTGGCACCAGAGCTCTCTGACAGAGAAGGCTAAATGTCTCACAAAACTACAGTTCCCACAATTTCCTAACATTGAGCCAGGGCAGTTAAAGCAGTCTCAAACTGGATTGTTTCTGTAGTGTGTTTTGGACTAAAAGCCAAGATTTCACCAATTTTTGAAAGGTTGTTAATGATATTATGCATATCTTTAGCCTTAGCTTGGCTTCATAAAGAAAAACAAAAAGCCAGTTGTGTTTCCCTCCCATTCCAGCTGGGACAGAGGCTTAACACCCTCCTCTACTCAAACCATGGTCTGATCTATCTAAGCACACTTGCTGCTGTGCTGGTTGTTCTGGGTTTTGTTTTGTTTTTACATTGTAAAAAAAAAAAAATACACACACACACACACCCAAGAAACACCCAGGGCTAAATGCATGGATAACATCATTTCCAGTGTGATGCTAAATCAGTTTTTGATATCCAATTTTTTGTCTGTTGGAGTGTCTGTAGAAGTTTATGTACTTTTGCTCTCTCCAGCTTTCAGTTAGCTGCTCACATTTAAAAGTCATGTTAAAGGGCATTTAACAATATTTTATTTGTTTTAGGTTCTTCTAATTTCATTCTAATCTTATTTTATAATATGGAGTATATCTTCCATACATTGCCATAAGCTGCCATTGTGTTGCGACTAGCACTATGATGGCCACTCTATTTAACACCGGCTGCTAAGGATGAATTGCTTGTTGTGGTTAAAGTAGCAAAATGATGGGTCAATAATTGGGGTGGTTTGGGTCACTGGATCTGGCATTGCAGAAACACTAATGGTGTGTTTTTGCTCTGATGTTTGACTGTATCATCAAGGTATGATTAAAATTGTTGTTACTAAGAGGCTTTGTCCTCTCTACTCTAGGTGTGGAAGTTAAAAAAGCAGGTGGAACAAGGTTGTTGAAATGTGTTTTTAATGATTTGCTGATGGTTCACAGTGTCTTAATGATGAACCATTTCTAATAGCATGATGGCAATTCTTTCTAGTAGTGTGCAGACATGTTTTCTTTGCCATGCATTATATCAATGTAGCAATAGAAATGCTGTCTCGGTAGCGTTATCCCATGTAAGCATCTTCTACTTCACCCAATTCAAATAGTATGTGTGTGTGTGAATTTTTATTGCTGTATGCCATCAGCACACATGTGTAGTTGCATCATATTGACTGATTCCTCTTGGCCTTTTTTACTTTTTCCTTCTCATAATAATTTCATATGAGTTCTTCATGTTGTACTTTGTTGAACTAAGGTTGTTAGATGTGCTTTGTTCCAGATCAGCCAGAGCAAACAAAATGGATAGCTTTTCACTTTGTAACCCTGGTAGAGGGTACTTTACAAGTCTTAATGACAGTGGGAAAGAGAACTGGGTCCTTCATGATATCTTTTCAAACTATTGATATGAACCATATTTCTATAATTCCTGAGGTCATCTGAGCACTTAACAGAATAGTACCTCCATGATAACACTGTCTGAGTGGCTGAAACATTTTATCGTAGAGTAGTTGACCCATAGTTTTTATTGGGCATGGCCATAGACTGGGAACAAAATAACACAACTCTATTTACTATAGTTTGGCTTAGTTGTTAATTAAAATGAAAACTGTAGTCAAGAAATCAGAAGAAACTAAGACTTGAAAGGCAAGCTATGAAGGAACTAAACAAGATCCTCAAATGTAAAGATTCATCAGTCAGGATCATCCATGCCATAATACCGTATTTTCCGGCGTATAAGACGACTGGGCGTATAAGACGACTCCACACTTTTCCAGTTAAAATATAGAGTTTGGGAAGAGTATGACTTCCAAAACTATTGTTGTTGTTGCTGTGCACCTTCAAGTCATTTCCAGCTGATGATGACACTAAGGCAAACCTACCATGAACCTCCTTATACCCGGCGTATAAGACGACCCCCCCCACTTTAACCCCAGATTTTGCAGGTTAAAAAGTAGTCTTATATGCCAGAAAATAAGGTATTTCTGATTTCTTTGTATGGATATGAAAGCTTGACAGTGAAGAAAGCCGACAGGAAAAAAGGGTGTTTCTGAAATGTGCTGGAAAAGCATTGTAGTAATATCATGGATCCTCAAGAGACAAGTAAATAGGTACAGGCACAAAGCAAGCATATAGTCTTAGCAGAATCCAAAATGACTAAACAAAGGTTATCATAGTTTGGACACATCATGAGATGACAGGACTCATGGAAAATGTGGAGTAAAGTTGAAGACCATAGGGAAAGACGAAGATCACATTACAGGGCGGTTACTGGATCAAGGAAACCATGTTCCTGAGTTTGCAAGACCTGAAGATGACTATTAGTGACATGGTCTTTTTTAGGTCTCTCATAGTGTTGCCATAAGTTGAACTTGATCTCACATAACAACAGTAGTAGCAGCAACATGATGTATGTAAGGCTAACTTGTCTGTAAGAAGTATATTTGGATGGCGTATGATTTTAGATCAACACATTTACCATTAGGTTGCCATGTCAGTTCATAATACTTTATGGTTGTTTCCTATGAGACCCTCTTTAGGAGGGAAAGAAATGACAGAACATCTGGCTGACCTGTGCTTTTTTATGTTTGTTAAGTACACAGCAAGCTTGTAGCTAAGTGATGCTCTTGGTACTTGTAATAAGAAGAGGTTGATGGTTCTTAGCTGCACTGCTTAGCAGCACTGTAGCCCCCTGAGCAGCTTTGTTTACACAGGTAGTTTCCTTAGGCTAGCTATTTTAACTTGATTGCTTATTTAGCAAACTGATTGATTAGTTGTTCTAGGACCTAGAGCACATGATTGTTGTCTTCCTTCTCTGCTTAGCTGATTGCTGCAGATCAGTGAACAATTGAAGGTGGCTCATCATTTGAAATACATGAGAAAAGGTGGAACAAAACAAGAAC